TGTTTTACTCAGGGTTAGACACTGACTTTTTATCAGGTAAAGTACTCAACATTGTTTTACTCAGGGTTAGACACTGACTTTTTATCAGGTAAAGTACTCAACATTGTTTTACTCAGGGTTAGACACTGACTTTTTATCAGGTAAAGTACTCAACATTGTTTTACTCAGGGTTAGACACTGACTTTTTATCAGGTAAAGTACTCAACATTGTTTTACTCAGGGTTAGACACTGACTTTTTATCAGGTAAAGTACTCAACATTGTTTTACTCAGGGTTAGACACTGACTTTTTATCAGGTAAAGTACTCAACATTGTTTTACTCAGGGTTAGACACTGACTTTTTATCAGGTAAAGTACTCAACATTGTTTTACTCAGGGTTAGACACTGACTTTTTATCAGGTAAAGTACTCAACATTGTTTTACTCAGGGTTAGACACTGACTTTTTATCAGGTAAAGTACTCAACATTGTTTTACTCAGGGTTAGACACTGACTTTTTATCAGGTAAAGTACTCAACATTGTTTTACTCAGGGTTAGACACTGACTTTTTATCAGGTAAAGTACTCAATGTTGTTTTACTCAGGGTTAGACACTGACTTTTTATCAGGTAAATTACTAAACATTGTTTTACTCAAGGTTAGACACTGACTTTTTATCAGGTAAAGTACTCAACATTGTTTTACTCAGGGTCAGACACTGACTTTTATTGCTTGGCAGTCCACAGGACTAGTTGAAATTAGTTTATTTACTAGTCCTTTGTCAAAGTAACTAGTCCAAGATAACCTGATAAGAAACATTGCAATCTGCAGCATGAAAGATCAAAAGTATTCGACTGTAAAGGACTCAAAATACCTACTGCCATAAAAATATGGTGAAAATTATGACAGTTATCATGAAATGTATCTTATTTTAAACAGTTTGCAAATTTTTTAGAAGGAATATTCTTATTTCATATTTTTCACAAGTCCAAAGGACCAGTTAGGTTAGGTGATTCACTAGTCCTTGTTGAAATCTACTAGTCCAGGACTAGCGGACTTAGTTGTGTTAGTGTCAACCCCTGAATTTACTGACCAAAACCTGATACAGAATACACTATTAACCCTGGAAAACAAGTTCATCAAATCGTATAATAACATTTGTAATATTTTTATTCTTAGAAACATCGCTTTAATCTGTTTTTTAAAGAACATATATGTGGTGACAATAAATTCTGAGGGTGTAATTGTAATCACTGCTCTGTACTTCATTTTATGTAAACAAACAACACTAATACACTGAACTTCATACATGATACTAATTAATACACTGAACTTCAAACATGACACTAATACACTGAACTTCATACATGACACTAATTAATACACTGAACTTCAAACATGACACTAATACACGGAACTTCATACATAACACTAATACACTGAACTTCATACATGACACTTATACACCGAACTTCATACATGACACTAATACACTGAACTTCATACATGACACTAATACACTGAACTTCATACATGACACTTATTCTGCAATATTTTCACCAATGGCTGCACCAAATTAGATAACATCTTTATACATTTATTTAACTTTAATCTTTCATATGATTAAAAGTTTAGGATGTATGACAACAGTAACAGTAAGGTAATGATGTGATAATGATATATTAGTAATAGTTTAGGATGTATGACAACAGTAACAGTAAGGCTGATGTGATAATGATATATTAGTAAAAGTTTAGGATGTATGACAACAGTAACAGTAAGGCTGATGTGATAATGATATATTAGTAAAAGTTTAGGATGTATGACAACAGTAATAATAAGGTTGATGTGATAATGATATATAAGTAAAAGTTTAGGATGTATGGCAACAGTAACAGTAAGGCTGATGTGATAATGATATATTAGTAAATGTTTAGGATGTATGACACTGATGTGATAATGATATTTAAGTAAAAGTTTAGTATGTATGACAACAGTAATCATAAGGTTGATGTGATAATGATATTTAAGTAAAAGTTTAGGAAGTATGACACCAGTAACAGTAAGGCTAATGTGATAATGATATATGAATAAAAGTTTAGGATGCATGACAACAGTAACAGTACGGCTGATGTGATAATAATATATCAGTAAAAGTTTAGGAAGTATGACACCAGTAACAGTAAGGCTGGTAGGATGTATGACAACAGAAACAGTAAGGCTGATGAGATAATGATATATTAATAAAAGGTTAGGATGTATGACAAAAGTAACAGTAAGGCTGGTAGGATGTATGACAACAGCAACAGTAAGGCTGATGTTATAATGGTATATTAGTAAAAGTTTTGGATGAATGACAACAGAAATAATAAGGTTGATATGATAATGATATATAAGTAAAAGTTTAGGATGGATGACAACAGTAACAATAAGCTTGATTTGATAATGATATATTAATACAAGTTTAGGATGTATGGCAACAGTAATAGTAAGGCTGATGTGATAATGATATATGAATAAAAGTTTAGGATGTATGAAAACAGTAAAAATAAGGTTGATGTGATAATGATATATAAGTAAAAGTTTAGTATGTATGACAACAGTAACCGTAAGGCTGATGTGATAATGATATTTAAGTAAAAGTTTAGTATGTATGGCAACAGTAATAGTAAGGCTGGTAATGATATATTAGGAAAAGTTTAGGATGTAGGACAACAGTAACAGTACGGCTGATGTGATAATAATATATCAGTAAAAGTTTAGGATGTTTGACAACAGTAATAGTAAGGCTGATGTGATAATGATATATCAGTAAAAGTTTAGGAGGTATGACAACAGTAACCGTAAGGCTGATGTGATACTGATATATTAGTAAAAGGTTAGGATGTATGACAACAGCAACAGTAAGGCTGATGTTATAATGGTATATTAGTAAAAGTCATACATGACACTAATACACGGAACTTCATACATAACACTAATACACTGAACTTCAAACATAACACTAATACACGGAACTTCATACATAACACTAATACACTGAACTTCATACATGACACTAATTAATACACTGAACTTCATACATGACACTTATTCTGCAATATTTTCACCAATGGCTGCACCAAATTAGATAACATCTTTATACATTTATTTAACTTTAATCTTTCATATGATTAAAAGTTTAGGATGTTTGACACCAGTACCAGTACGGCTGGTAATGATATATTATTAAAAGTTTAGGATGTAGGACAACAGTAATAATCATACATGACACTAATACACGGAACTTCATACATAACACTAATACACTGAACTTCAAACATGACACTAATACACGGAACTTCATACATAACACTAATACACGGAACTTCATACATAACACTAATACACTGAACTTCAAACATAACACTAATACACTGAACTTCATACATGAAACTTATACACCGAACTTCATACATGAAACTTATACACCGAACTTCATACATGAAACTTATACACCGAACTTCATACATGAAACTTATACACCGAACTTCATACATGAAACTTATACACCGAACTTCATACATGACACTAATTAATACACTGAACTTCAAACATGACACTAATACACTGAACTTCAAACATGACACTAATACACTGAACTTCATACATGAAACTTATACACCGAACTTCATACATGAAACTTATACACCGAACTTCATACATGACACTTATTCTGCAATATTTTCACCAATGGCTGCACCAAATTAGATAACATCTTTATACATTTATTTAACTTTAATCTTTCATATGATTAAAAGTTTAGGATGCCCCCCAACAGTAATAATAAGGTTGATTTGATAATGATATATTAGTAAAAGTTTAGGATGTTTGACAACAGTAACAGTAAGGCTGGTAATGATATATTAGTAAAAGTTTAGGATGTATGACAACAGTAATAATAAGGTTGATTTGATAATGATATATTAGTAACAGTTTAGGATGTATGACAACGATATATTAGTAAAAGTTTATGATGTATGACAACAGTAATAATAAGGTGGATTTGATAATGATATATTAATACAAGTTTAGGATGTATGACATCAGTAACAGTAAGATTGATGTGATAATGATATATTAATACAAGTTTAGGATGTATGACAACGATATATTAGTAAAAGTTTAGGATGTAGGACAACAGTAACAGTAAGATTGATGTGATAATGATATAGTAATAAAAGTTTAGGATGTATGACAACGATATATTAGTAAAAGTTTAGGATGTATGACAACAGTAACAATAAGGTTGATTTGATAATGATATATTAATAAAAGTTTAGGATGTAGGACAACAGTAACAGTAAGATTGATGTGATAATGATATATTAATAAAAGTTTAGGATGTATGACAACAGTAACAGTAAGATTGATGTGATAATGATATATCAGTAAATGTTTAGGATATATGACAACAGTAACAATAAGGTTGATTTGATAATGATATATTAGTAAAAGTTTAGGATGTATGACAACAGCAATAATAAGGTTGATTTGATAATGATATATTAGTAAAAGTTAAGGATGTATGACAACAGTAACAATAAGGTTGATTTGATAATGATATATTAATAAAAGGTTAGGATGTTTTATGAAGTTTATGAAGGTAATTGTTTTTGTAAATCTTTAAAAACCCATCAACAGTTTTGAACAGGCTGTATTAAAATTGTGCCTGTTTCATCCATTTCACAGTAGGCCTCTTTTGGTTTTCACACAATATCTTGCACAATAAGTTCATCAGATGTGTCCGGATTCTTATGAAACTTGGTCAATATATTAAACCAAGACAAGTTCGTAATGGAACGTACAAAATCTGTGACTGGCATTAGATGAAATGGTATAAATGATCTGCCTCAGTGTCATGACACTGTGAGTGTTATCTTAATTGTGATATCTGCTTTAATATTTTAACATAAATATCATGTTTGTTATTATGATTTAGTATTTTTTCAATAATTTAACTAATATTTTGTCTTCCACAGACTTTTCTGACCTCGACACAGAACAACTACTATTAGACATCAATAAACATGACAGGATAACATCCAAAAACATGCTGATAAACCTATCCCAGGATTCCTGTATGTCTGGACTACGATCATCACCATCACAATCGTCATCGCCTCAGTCTGCATTGTCGTACTCCTCGTCATCTTCATCGCCCGTCCCATCCCCATCTTCATCAGAACTCAGCAGCCTGAATGTGAATATTTTTTCCCTCACTAGGGCCCATCCTACCTCCACAACTTTAGTAAGTATATCCATCTTTCTGTAATAGTAGTAAAAATAATAACAATTTGAGGTTCTTTAATATACCGCTTTATCACAACCTAGTTCGTAGGTCGTCTCAAAGCGGTTCACAAATTATTATTCGTGGTTAAGGGGTCTTTGCAACCAGTCAATATCTTTCTCAACTCCCTGGGGAGCAATACCAGCCGAACTGCCATATCAGTGCTCACGGCTTGTGTTCAGCAATTCTAGCACTGCCCAACCACATACTCATTTACAGCTGAGTGGACTGGAACAAATACAACACAATGCCGTGGCGTGACTCGCACCTGCGACCCTTTGGTCATGAGCCAAGCGACCTACCACTAGACTACCGTGCCTCCAATAACAACACCTTCACACACCTGTACACCCTATCACAACAACAACAGCAGTGTGGAGATATACTGGAATCTGAATGTTTCTCCGTCCGTTAACCTTTCTGTCTGTGATGAACATTTTCTCATTATTTAAATTACACACATATTAGGCCAAAACAAATTATATCCTGAATGACTCTTGTTTTTACCTCCGACCCTAACAATTTTATCTCGCTTAATCACACTCCATCTAGTGTTGGGATAACTTGTCCACCGGGTTCAAACAAATTGTTGGATGTATATTTGTATCCTCTCTACTTCATAGGCAGATATCAAAACCAAATATAAATACCTTTATATAATTTAAAAGACCTGAAAAAATGTTTGGTGATTTTCGTAATTACTTTGATAAATTAAAAGAAATAAAAACAAATCCCGACCGACCTCATACTTGCCAACTTTTTGCAATTTCCATGGGGGAGATTCTGTATGCTCAAAATTAAAACATAAATAAAATGTGTGTATACAAAATACCCCCTAGAGCCGAACCAAGCCTTTGAAATGACATATTTTGAGTTGTCCTTCAGGTGAAATCATGAGATCTTGGAATATAGGAATAGTTTAGCAAATTCATTAGGTGACAATACTAAAATTAAGGGTTTGAAATCAGGAGTCTCCCTCCTTAATATGGAGAGTTGGCAAATATGAGACCTCACATTTTTTTCCAGACATGTTACCTGAAACATACATTACATTTAAGACATTTGCATGTTATAAAGGACCGCCAGGTTTTTATCATGATATCAACAAAGTTACGGCCCTTGATTTGAGCGCTAAAAATATTTCGTCTTGAATTAAAACTCTCAAAATGCAACATTCTCCCAATAAACAATTGTCAGAATACTGAATCATGATAAGCAACTGCTCATCACAACATTCCTATCATAAACAGTTATCTTCTTACGTCTCTGTCCCCATAAATTATAACTTATGTAATATTCTCCGAATAAACAATTGTTGTAAAAGTGTCCCTATAGAACTGTGTCAAACAGGTGTCTGTAGGCTACTGACATGTAAGTGTCCTTGTACACAACTGTCCTACAAGCCTGATATAACATTGTTGTCTTCAAGCCTGATATAACATCATTGTCTACAAGCCTGATTTAACATCGTTGTCTACAAGCCTGACATCACATCGTTGTCTACAAGCCTGATATCACATCGTTGTCTACAAGCCTGTTATCACATCGCTGTCTACAAGCCTGATATCACATCGTTGTCTACAAGCCTGATATCACATCGCTGTCCTACAAGCCTGATATCACATCGTTGTCTACAAGCCTTATATCACATTGCTGCCCTACAAGCCAGATATCACATCGCTGTCTACAAGCCTGATATCACATGTTTGTCTACAAGACTGATATCACATCATTGTCAACAAGCCTGATATCACATGGCTGTCTACAAGCCTGATATCACATCAATGTCTACAAGCCTGATATCACATCGTTGTCTACAAGCCTGATATCACATCGCTGTCTACAAGCCTGATATCACATCGTTGTCTACAAGCCTGATATCACATTGCTGTCCTACAAGCCAGATATCACATTGTTGTCTACACGCCTGATATCACATCGCTGTCCTACAAGCCTGATATCACATTGCTGTCCTACAAACCTGATATAACATTGCTGTCCTACAAACCTGATATCACATTGCTGTCCTACAAACCTGATATCACATCGCTGTCTACAAGCCTGATATCAATTCTTTGTCTACAAGCCTGATATCACATCGCTGTCTACAAGCCTGATATCATATCGCTGTCTACAAGCCTGATATCACATTGCTGTCCTACAAGCCTGATATCACATCACTGTCTACAAGCCTTATATCACATTGCTGCCCTACAAGCCTGATATCACATCACTGTCTACAAGCCTGATATCACATTGCTGTCCTACAAGCCTGATATCACATCGCTGTCCTACAAGCCTGATATCACATCACTGTCTACAAGCCTGATATCACATTGCTGTCCTACAAGCCTGATATCACATCGCTGTCCTACAAGCCTGATATCACATCACTGTCTACAAGCCTGATATCACATTGCTGTCCTACAAGCCTGATATCACATCGCTGTCCTACAAGCCTGATATCACATC